TCAAAGAAGATGCTAATGCTGTTAAACAAAAGGTTATATCAAAAACTGACGCGGTTGCTGAAGACGCAGAGACTGCTAAGGACAAAGCCATGAAGGAGGCAAAAAAAGCAAAGGAAAAGGGAAGCGGTTTCCTTTCAGGCTTATTTAAAGGAGCCAAACATACAGTTGATGAAACTACTGGCGACGTAAAGGACTTCCTTGAAGAAATGAAGAGGGAAGCAGCGGAAGATCAAGCTAAAGTCCGAGAGGCAGCTGCTAAAAAGGTTAAAGAAATGGAAGTGAAGAAAGACAAAGCAATAACTAATGTTAAAGATGCTAAAGATAAAGTTTCCACAGCTGCGAAGGATGTTAAAGACGAAATCAGTGACAAAGCAACTGCGGGAGTACAGAAAGCTGCCGATGCTGGGAAAGCTGTCGGCGAGAAAGTTGCAGACAGTGCTAAACAAGCTGAAACTAAAGCAGCAACAGTTATTAAGGACATGGCTGATGGCGTCAAAGATACAGCTGACAAAGTATCCAAAGAAGTCAAAAAGGACGCAACAGCGGTAAAAGATAAAGTTACGACAGGAGTAGAAGCGGCTTCAGACAGCGCAGAAGCTGCGAAAGACAAAATTGCAAAGGAAGCTAAAGCAACCAAGGATAAAGGTAGCGGATTCCTGTCCGGTCTCATCAAAGGTGCAAAACATGCTGCCGATGAAGTTGCCGAAGATGTAAAGGAGTTCCTGGACGATACAAAGAAAGAAGCAGCGGAGGAGGAAACCAAAGTTCGAGAAGCGGCGTCTGAAAAGATCAAAGATGCTGAAGCAGCAACAGATAAGGCAGTAGAGCACGTAAAAGACACAAAGGGTAAGGTTGCTGATTCAGTGAAAGATGCTAAGGACAAAGTCAGCGAGAAAATCACTGTTGGTGTTCAGAAGGTATCCGATGCTGGTAAATCTGCAGGTGAGAAAGTCTCTGATGCCGCTAAAATTACCGGCGAAAAGATCTCCAACGGAGCTAGAAAGGTTGAAGATAAAACAAAAGCAGTAGCACATGGGGTCGTCGATAGTACCAAGGCTGCAAAGGACGCAGTATCGACAGAAATTAAAAGAGATGCTGAGCTGGTGAAGGAGAAAGTCTCCTCTGGAGTTGAGACCGTTGTTGATTCTGCAGAAGCTGCGAAAGACAAAGCAGCGAAAGAGGCCAAGAAAGCCAAAGAAAAAGGCAGTGGCTTCCTTTCTGGTTTATTTAAAGGTGCAAAACAGGCAGCAGAAGAAGTGACGGATGATGTTAAAGATTTCCTGGACGAGACAAAGAAAGAAGCAGCTGAAGAAGAAGCCAAAGTTCACAAGGCAGCAGCTGACAAACTAAAAGGTGCGGAGGTTGCGAAGGATAAAGTTGTAGCAGATCTAAAAGAAGGAAAAGACAGTGCTCTTTTTGCAGTTAAGGACGTCAAAGATAAAGTCAGCGATACAGTTCATGATGGCGTCCAGAAGGTGTCTGATGCTAGTAAAGCTGCTGGTGGAAAGATCTCTGACGCTGGTAAAGCTGTAGGTGAAAAAGTCTCTGATGCTAGTAAAGCTGCTGGTGGAAAGATCTCCGATGGAGCTAAACAGGTTCAGGATAAAACAAAGGCAACAGCTCAAGAAGTAGTCGATGGTGCCAAAGCTACGAAAGGTGCAGTGTCTAAAGAAATTAAAAAAGACGCTGATTTAGTAAAGAGCAAAGTTTCATCTGGAGTGGATGCAGTTGTTGACAGCGCAGAAGTTACAAAGGACAAAGCTGCTAAAGAAGCTAAGAAAGCCAAGGAGAAAGGCAGTGGTTTCCTTTCTGGACTGTTCAAAGGTGCAAAACATGCTGCTGAAGAAGTTTCTGATGATGTCAAAGAATTCCTTGACGAAACGAAAAAAGAAGCAGCCGAAGAGGAGGCCAAACTTCGAGATGCAGCGTCCCAGAAAGTGGATGATGCAAAGGCAGCAAAAGAGAAAGTAGTGTCTGACGTAAAAGACACTAAGCACAAAGTTGTTGATGCTGCAAAGGACGTTAAGGACAAAATGAGCGAAAAAGTATCTGAAGGCGTTCAGAAGATATCTGATACTGGAAAAACAGTTGGCGAAACATTGTCTGAAGGTGCTAAGCAGGTTGAAGATAAAACAAAGGCAGCTGCTAAGGGGACAGTTGATGGCATTAAAGGTGCAAAGGAAAAAATATCCATGGAGATCAAGAAGGACGCTGAAGTCGTGAAAAGCAAGGTTACATCTGGAGTGGATGCTGTTTCTGAAGGTGCAGAGGCTATGAAGGAAAAAGCTGCGAATGAAACTAAGGAAGCCAAGGAAAAAAGTAGTGGTTTCTTCTCTGATATGTTCAAGGGAGCAAAGCATGTTGTAGAAGACTTCTCTGATGACGTTAAAGACTTCCTCGATGAAACAAAAAAGGAAGCCGCAGAGGAGGAAGCCAAAGTTCGAGACACAGCGGCTGAAAAGATCAAAGATGCTGAGGCAGCAAAAGACAAAGCGGTAGAACACGTAAAAGATGCCAAGGATAAAGTTGTTGATTCAGTGAAGGACGCCAAAGACAAAGTCAGCGAGAAAGTCATTGTTGGTGTTCAGAAGGTATCCGATGCTGGCAGAGCTGCAGGTGAGAAGATCTCCGATGATGGTAAAACTGCAGGTGAAAAGATCTCCGACGGAGCTAAACAAGTTAAGGATAAAGCCAAATCTGCAAAAGACACAGTATCTAAAGAAATAAAGAAGGATGTTGAGCTAGTGAAGAGCAAAGTTTCATCTGGAGCTGATACTGTCGTCGAAAGTGCAGATGCTGCAAAGGGTAAAGTCGCAAAGGAAGCTAAGAAAGCCAAAGAAAAAGGTGGCGGATTCCTCTCTGGTCTTATAAAAGGTGCAAAGCATGCAGCAGACGAAGTCTCCGAGGACGTAAAGGAATTCCTTGATGAAACGAAAAAGGAAGCGAAAGAAGAAGAAGCGAAGCTTCGAGAAGTAACAGCAGAAAAAGTGAAAGATGTCGAAGCTACGAAAGACAAAGTGATATCCGATGTCAAAGACACAAAAGACAAAGCCACTGCTGCTGCAAAGGATACGAAAGCTAAAGTCAGTGAAAAAGTAACCACAAGTTTACAGATGGCATCTGACACTAGTAAATCCGCAGCAGATAAGTTAGCAGAGGGTGCTAAAAAGGTTGAAGATAAAACCGAGGCCGCTGTTCTTGAAGTAGCCGAATGTGTTCAATTGGGAAAGGAGAAAATATCAAAAGAAATCAAAGATGGAAGCGAATCGGTGAAACAAAAAACGACGCAAGGCCTTGATGCAGCTGTTTGTACTGTAGAAACAGTAAAAGATAAAACCTCTAAAGAAGCTAAAAAGGCTAAAGAAAAAAGCAGTGGTTTCCTGTCCGGCTTGTTCAAGGGCGGGAAACAATCTGCTGACGAAGTTTCCGACGATACGAAAGGGGTTGTAGAAAAAACGCAAAAGGAAACCATCAGAGTTGTTGGTTCTTCGGACAAACTGTTCAGACCAGATCAAAAAGTTCCCACAGATACCGGTGTCTCGAAGGGTGACTTAGCAATGTTCTTAGACGAATTGAGGCACGACTCTTCGTTAGACAAATCCTTCTCTTATGACAATCAAAGGTTACAAGGTTACGACCAAACAAGTAAAGACTCGCCTATAGTGACTAAGGGAACCAGTAGTTCAGGAAGCGGAAAGAATATTGTTTCGCAAACAATAGTTACCTCAGCCCCGTATATCGGTGATCCACTTTCCGCCACAGATTCTGAAGTCCCCGTTCGGTTGACCGAGATGAACATAAAAGATGGCAGTCCTCCCGGTGAATCGAAGTTGGTGAAAGTATCTCGCATTCCACAAAAAGTTAGTTCCTCGAAAGAAACACGAGTTAGCCCGAGTAGTTCGCAGGATAGCTCGGTTAGGGTAGTTACAATATCTAGTGAAGTAGAGCACCTTGAGCCTCGCACACGGCAAACCGTCACCACAGTCGTAAGAAAGTCTGTGCGGACGGCAGCGACCCCACCACCCAGTCTCGCCGAGTACACTGACAATAGAATCGAAGGTATCTTGCAATAATTGCGTTATATACAATATTACATACCAGCTGTGTGTAACATGATTAATTAAGTTGACGCTTTTCTGTAACTTAAGTTTTTGGTAGTCGTACCAAAATGGCCGGACGGCCATTGCACTGTGTCATTCGTAATATAATCCTAACACTCTGATCTATCAATCACTCTCTTTTAGTGTACTAATTTCTACGTGATCTTTTCGTAAGACGAGGAATACCGAACGTACTATAAAGTGGAGCAAATAATGTATCTTGTACCCCCTTTTTTCGATAGAGATGATAAGTTCCTTTGTCTTAATGAGTAGATCCTTGCCCTTGTAGAATAAATCTATGTTCAATCACTTTCTATGACAGTGAACCTAACTCTTGATTGTCACTTTATAGTATGATAATCTGAATGTGGTAACAACGCGAGGAGGCTACACGACATAGAAAAATGTCTAGAGAAAAAAGAGGAACGAAAAAATTATTTAGCGAAAAGAAAAAAAAGAATAGAAACAATGTGATTACATTATTTCGATTTATTTGCTGTTCTTATTTTCAGTTTGTGCGTTTTAACTTCTTTAACCTTTCTTTAATGCATGTTTTCAGGTTTTTTACGCTATTTGTTAACATTCGAACATATTTATATCCACGATACGATTATCCCGTCGACGGTGTATCATTGCCGGCGAATACCTTTATTTTTCTCGTTTACCCGTTTAATTTTTATTATAGCGTGTAACATTATAGACGTCACATGTTTATTATTCTATTACGGTAATAGACTATAATCTCATTGAATTAACAGGAGACCACGACTAGCGAAGCATGAACCGAGGTATGCCATGCAGGGAAACATCATTCATCTAATCTTTGTCAGTTCATTGCTTTCAATGTTCGACCAGTGATTACCGGTCCGTACTCACGCCGTTATCCGATGAATTTTTCAGATGTCACCGAAGAGGCAGCAAGACGAGCACAGAGCCTAGCCGACCAGGCGTACACGATGTCGAAAGCAGGTAACGTATGGTCAGACAAGATCTAGAAGTTCACAAGTACACGAGATCACAGGCCCAAGATCAATTACGTTAGCAGATTCTATTTTGGTGCCCTCATTTATATTTAGCTTTATCTTCTATAGTTAGCACTTGCCGACGCTTTCACACTGACTAATATATTGTGCGCACGTCTCTTACTAAATAGATACCTCGTTCTTTTGTGGCATCATAGTCGTTGAATATCGCGGACGACGGAAACGTGTCCGAGCATTGTACAATAATCTCATTTAATACCCGTGGTACATGATCATTTCGTCATTCTTCTCTGTAGCTGTGTTAAACGGATCGGTGATCCTAGCTGAATCTACGTAGCTTAGCGTGTCCTACGTCTTTCTGTTTAGTTTCGTAGCATAAGGTACGTGTACGGCGATGAACGAAATTATTGCCGCGGACCGGAGTTTCCTGCGAAACTCTGTGTAAATTTGGATGGTACAAGATTTTCCGTCTAATGTGTTTTATACGATACGATTTTCGAGACTGTAATTCATAACTAATGGAGATAGATAATAGAGAATACATGCAGAACTGCTTTCAGCGAAACACAAGTAGTGGCATATTTAGAAATTCGGTGTTTTAATTCATCAGAGACATTGATGGGTGCATGATTATTATATACGAAGAGATTCCAACATTCAAGTTTATATCTGTTTATCGTAGGTAGTTAGTATATGGTAGCTAGTAGTTAGTAAATTTATCTGAAAAAGGATATACCGTTGAAGTTTATATTATCATTGCCCCAGCTGTTCCTAAGACTATCGAATATAAGTACGCGATGTACTAAATGAAAACAGTTCCTTTCGTATTATTTATTATTCATTTTTATTACATTGAAATTTCAGATTCATAAATTACATTTTTCAGTATGAATCCGAGCGAGAACCGCAAATTTACAGATTTACACAAGTTCTTACAGGAAACTCCGTTCTGCGCCGACAGTTTCGTTCCCCGCCGCGCACGCTTCGTACATTCTCCGCAAATTGTTCACTGTAAAGAAATTCAATCGCTTCCAACCGATCACCACAAGTACCGCACGCTTCGAATCGAAATATCTCCCGCAGATAAACATTGAACGTCGTTAACAGCGAGTCACTCTGCCATTGGTACGTTTTAGTAAGATTCAGGCGCCACGATTAGACACCATTTAATTGAGTGTTTCTTTTTTATAAACGAACTAATCCTGTTGCAGTATTGATACTAACTAAGTTACTAAATGTAGAAAGTGTGCTGCACACAGAGACCCATACAAACATGCAAACGTACATTCACAGAAACATCGAAACATGCATACATAAAGAAAGACAAAAGAGATCGCACACGCACGCACACACGCGCGAACATATGAATCCAGCAATATGCATGGGTGTGTGAGAGCCACACAAAAGTTCAGTGTGTGTGTGTGTGTGTATGTGTGTGTAATCACTTTCCACGATATTATCCCGAATTTACCGTGACGTCAGGCCAGACACGCTGAATCTTTTTTCCGATCCGAGTCCATCTGTCGCAGCTGGGCCTAGAGTCCGGAATTCTTTAGTGTGTATCAATGTGCTTTATGTCCTTGTTCCTGTTCTTGTCCATGTCCTTTTGGATGGGTCAGGGCATGATTCGGCTGAGATTGATGGGACTGTAGAGAGGCATGCTACTTCTGCTCCAACAAAGCAACCTGTTCCCGCCCCGCGTCACTCCACCAGGTCGTCCATCAAAACAGACTTCCATCTAGATCTCAAAGACACCTCGTACACGCCGTACAGTCCCAAGCATAAAGCGGCTGAACAGCCGAGGCAGCGGTACGAAGAGCGCTCGCCGGAGAAGGCCAGCCCGAAGAGCAAGATACCGGTCAAAGTAAAAAAATCTCAGGAGACTGATATTCCCTCAAGCAAACCGATATCCGATGCGCGCAAGCCTAAAGAGGACGAGTCGGTACCGAACCTAAACGAGCGAACAGAAACCCCGGATACAGCTAAAGTGCCCGATGATCTCAAATATGGATCTCTTGATAGAAAAGAAGATGATCTCCAGGAGAAGACTGACTTAACGAAGCTCGAACTATCGAAAAGCACGCACAGTACAATCGCTACAGCCGCGTTCGATAGCTCCGCCGATCCTCAAACCCTAGACAGAATAGATACCCTAACGATAGCTACTAGAGACGGTAGCTTAGCAGAACCACCGGACTCGAATAGAACCGTGACGGAGACTAATATCATAGAGAGCACGCCGATCGGCGCGAACCAAGTGACCCGCACAACGATATCAAAGACTGAGGAGACCGTGACTGACGAGCTGGTGTCCAGGGAGACCGTAGTGAAGACGGTGACCACTGTACGTTGCGTTACCACCGAGTCGATGGGCGCGGAGCAATTCGAACAGATCGTCAGAACGATGACGTCCAGCGGAGACGCGGCAAGTATCGAACAGATGACGGCTAAAGCGTTGAAAGCCGCTGGAGAGGTGTCCGAGCCGTGGCGGTACGGCAGCGAAACGGAACGCAGATACACGGGCAATGAGAAAGCTGAGCAATGGGAGAGCCAACTGTCCCAAGACACGTCGCCCGGGTCCGGTAACGGCGACACTTACCCGAAAAACGGTAGCTTGCGGCATGATTTGCACAGTGACACTGAGAGCGATGGTTCGCCGCCGCCAAGAAGAAGATCGCCGAGCAAGAGGCGTACGCTGGGCAGTTCCAGCGGGTCTGACGTAGCACTGCACGAAGGTGCGGAGCTGTCCCCGTTGGAGGACGACCAAGGTACCGCACTCACAGCTAACCTTCTAAGTAAGCAATGTACATATCCCGCTAACCAAACTTCGTTTACTCGAAAGAACGTAAATTCCGATCCGAGACAACCGCGCGGGTCGCGCGTTCATATATACCGCTTTCATCGTGACTCGCTTCTTTATGCATGTTGTACTCTTCACCTTCATCCATCAACCTCACCCCCTATCCACCTCTCCTGATACTTTCATTGTTTTTTTGTTCTGTATCCTCCTGTTCTGTGTAGTCTGATACTTCCCCATTGGCCGCGTTGTCATTGTACTCTCGCCTTGTAAACAAAATGTCGCTTCCGGTGATCCTCTTTGACCGCGATTCGTCGCAATTGGTGATCTCAGTTTACGTAGATTGGTGATATGTAAATTGTATCTTGGTTCAGTGTTTGGTGATTTATGATGACTGCTATGGAACGAGAAATGTTACATGACCGTCACGTGCTTGATTTTGCTGGTACCTTTTTGCGAGTTTGCGGATCAATTGAATGTAAAGGACAGTTTGTTTCTGAATTTTCGAAATCGGTTTGGGGTTGATATTTTTTGAAAACGATTGGAATACTTGAACTTGAGTAGTCGATGGTAGATGAAGATATTTGTTCCTTGCTTTTGACTGTTCTACAAGTCTGCTAGGTTTCAGCAAAATCGGACGGTTGAATAAGGTTTCTTGCAATAGGTACTTGTACAAGGTGTTCGACAGGAAGTAGAGGAAAATTGAAGGAGTGATCGTTTATGATGAAGTAAAACGAAAATTAACAATTTCCTCGCTGTTGATTCTCGTTTTATATGCATGAAGGATCAACCCTTAAATTTCCCTTTGCCTATCGCCATCCTATAAGATAAATACACCACTTGTAGCTACTTTAAACATTTTTATAACTTTCAGTGTTTAATTTTAAAAAACTACGTTCTTATAATGTTGAAATACTATACAATATAATGTAACTGATATAATAGCTACAACTGGTACATCTACCCTGTAACAACACCAAAATTTTAAACAAACAAAAATTCTAATTTCGACGTGAACACTAATCTCATTATGACTAACTATAACTTCTTAGACAGTAAATAGAATATAAAAATACAAAAGACGTAATAGATATTCTACTCTAAATTGATTTTCACTGCATAAAAGAGAATTGATAATCGTCATTTTATGTTAAGTTGAACCCAAAAATCTTACAATCTGGGCCTAATTTATACATATTCTTTGCACACGGCGTTGCATGACTTTGAGCTTGCATAACAACTGTTAACTGGAGGTGTATGCACAAGGTGGAAGGACGTTGAACAAATATAAAATGATAACTACTAGCAAAGAAAAACAAAGCTTGTGACAGGCATTCGTATATCTGCGTACCTGTGTGGTTTCTGATTCTCCGTGGATTTACTTCGTGGGTGAGATCTGTTTCATAGGGTGATTTGGTGGTCGAGTTCAATGTGCTTCGTTCGAAAGGAAGTTTCTCTACCCCGCCACCCCCTTTTTTTGCCTACCGTTGGTCTTGGTTGGACGGATAAAGTTGCAATCAGGGGCTTCTGGGACTAGCATACTTTTCACTGATGTTCATTCATGGTTAGACATCTTATATGGCGTGTAAAACAGACAAAAAGAAATATCTTTGTCGTGCAGAAACATTGCAACCCCTAACAATGGGTTAATTTATTTTCATTTCCCTTTACACAATAACATATCAAAAATATTCACAATGTTTTCCAGTGATGCAGAAAATTTGAAAAACATTTTTTTAAAAATGGTAGTACACGATCATGATATTTCTTTTTAAATAAATTCAAAACTTCATACACTGCATTTCATGATTACACATGTGTGCAAAAATCACATGCAGAAATCATGAGGTAATAAGGGTTTACAACATTAAAAGGACACTAATAGATATGAATTAATTCGCCGTGTGATTACATGCATAGGATTATTCGATTAACCCTAATCTTTCCATTTCGAATAAAAATATCAATAAAAATCTCCATGCCCGCTCCCCTAAAAAAAATTACAAACATACGAATATTACTTCGATCATCGAAATTACATAATTGGGTGACTCTTATAACACAATTGGCTATAATCTATTTCATGCGTATCGAATACTTGTAACAAACTCACTAAAACATTTCAAGCCCAAGCGTAAAGAGCAAAAAGAAAAAAGCAAAATTCAGTATTACTGTTTCGGCTTCATAATGTTAAATGTTCTACCTTGTCCCAAGCAAAGCTTCATACTGGGCTGAACTTAATCCAAAACTTCCAATTAATCCCATCGGGGACTTGAGTTTCGTCAATAACATCGGGGGCAACGTACACGAAGCTCCCCAGCTTTCGGGCTATCGATGTTTTATTAAAAATTACAAATTTATCAAAACCCTTTGTTATGTGTCTCCGGACTATCAAAAATCAGTCGCATCGCTGCAAGTCAATCCAATCGAGCGTCGTCTCGATCCCTGCTATTTTCTTCATGTACGTGGTCTGCTTCAAACATAATTGGATTGTATTTATATTCAATCTTGTCTACATTACGTTTATTAATTGCCAAGGTGATTTCCTTCTAAACAGTTTACACAATATATTTTTCCCCAATTTCTAACACTTTAGCTGCCAAGTTGATCACAGATATAATTAATTTACGTGAAACGATATTTAATAGCTTAAAGTTAGATACGAGATCCAACAAGGTTAAAAGAGTTTCAATACAATTATTCAGTTTGTGAAACTTTTATGAATTATTTTTATAAAAGTGTAGAATACTAAGGAAGTATTTGAAAGGCGATCACCTTGGTTGTTGAAAGTGCAATGTAGGGAAGCTAGAAATGCAATTTTATTATCGATGAATCGGACCGCGTATCTTGCTCGCTGGTCTCTTCATACTAATCACGGCGTGGGAGCGCAAAGTACTCAGCAAAATGAATTTTTATCAATGGCAAACGAGCCGGCGAGAACGTTCATAGGAGCCGTAATGTTTAAGTGACAGAAACAGACAGTTCGGTACAGTCGATTTGCTCGAGCACGCGGCGAAGTACGGTTGAGGGAACGCCTAGGACGAAGACTTCCGGTAGAGCAAGCTGCGCATGTTGGATGAGCGTAGCCGCCGCTACGTTGGTGGTCCTACTAGCAATTTTTCTTACCTTGGAGCCACAAACTTTCCAACGTGCCATCTACACCCTCTCTAACAATTCCCCGAGGCAAGCTGGGTACGATTTACCCTTCATTTTATTTATTTCTATTAAAGCAAAAACACGCAACAAAAAAAAGAATGAAAAGAGAAAATGGAACTTTTTGGTCAACCATGTAAGCCACCGCTACGAACACTTGACATGTCCCATGCCCAAAATTTTGTGATTGTACCAAGTACTGTTGTATTCAATTTGAAACTGCTAACGAGTCACTCAAGATACAGACTTCAAATATTCGTAAAATGTTTGATCGAACGTTATTTGGTGTGCAAATTCATGTGATTTCTAGTCATGGTTTCCTGTCGTAAGATTTGAGATATTTTTATATTATAAGTAACTATATCAAACTTGAAATCTTTGAAATTTTTAAGGTTGCAGAATTTTAAATACTCTTTTAATATAGGGAGCTTAAAATGAGTTTATGTTGTACATTCTTTATAATGTTCAACGTTCTCATACCTTTACATTTTTCCACGCAATCTTCCGACAAACATTTTAGGAATACTTTATACACGCTATAATGTAATATACATTCTCTACACGTTGCCACATCGAAGGCAAGGGAAATCAAGAGTTTATTATATTTCAAATTCTAAACTGAGTACACTCGATGAGGAATGCATTTACAAAGGTATGCAGTGTCCCAGAATGATTACATTTTTATATGAACAGTAACGTTTTTTCATGTGTTATTACTTTTACGCGACAAGTAAGAATGAAAGAAGTGTAAGTACAAACAGATTCTACAGCAACGTCGTTGCTTAATTCTCGAACAGAAGAATTATCGAAATGTTTCGTTATTCGGATAGATTCGAATTTTCGTTGGACGACTTTAAGGTTTTTCAGTCGTGCCATGGCAATTTACGAGGCAGACGAATTAGCAAGAGTATACAAGCTTTCTTTTTCTAACAGGTTCAATCTGATCCCACCGTGATAGCGAATGTGCTGCATGATTTAATTATAATCGACACCTTGCATGAACCTTTATTGCATCTTTAGTCTGTCAAAGTCTTAAGTTGTTGTTTCCTGCAGCGTTTCACACGCCGATTA